CATCTGGTTAGCCTCCAGGTGGTCTTATGGAACACCTCATTTCTACAGAGCCTGTTGCAACCTAGATAAAGAATATTTAATTAGTGGTTTCTAGTGCTGAATTGGTTTGATAAAAGCACACCTGGCTGGGCAACACTCACCACAGAGTGGGATCCTGTGAAAACGAGGTAAGGGACCCTGAAAGGTAAAGTAGAGACAAGTGTAGCAATGAAAATACTCACCCCTCTGTATAATCTAGTAGAAGTGGCTAAGACAGCTACAGGGGGTAATAAAAAACTCTCTGATGAAGATAATGCCATATCATGCAAATAATTGAGATAATGTACTGGGGGAGGTCCACATACCAGCCTGCACAATGTCCTCCAGCAGGCAATTCAAATGCACCACTAAGGACATAGAAATGTGATGAATCTGACTAGACGTGACTCACAGATGACTCCTCACCTTCAGAGAGAGCCCAGAATAAGTGGTATGGATCAATTTTGTAACCAGGGATTAATCCTGGGAACTGAATGATCCTAATGAATAAACAGTATGCAGGCATAAATCAAAATAAAGTTTATACTAATCAAATGGATATGTCTATATCAGACTGCTGACACTTTGGATCTTCAACAACCTCTGGAAAGTACTACAGAAGATAGATATCTAGTAATTGCAATTAAAGGGTCCCTTTTTCCTGCCAATTATTGAGCACATAATATTTCTGACATTTAAAAACTGAATATCTTGACCAAAGCAGCCTACCTCATAACTGTGATCATGCATTAAGGAGAATGGTCATCAGTATCAAAACATTTCTGAACACAGAAATCCATTGCTACACTACTTGCCAAAGGTGCATAAAGCTTTTTGTGACCCCTGAGTAGTTTTCATAATGTACAGACTGATTATTTTAACAATTCCAGATGCTTTTACTGGAAAAATGTTGTTGGACATCATTGTGTTAGCTTTAAGAAACAAAATGACTCAGACGCACAAGTTAACTATGACCAAACCACAGGGATTTCTTCATATGGTAGAGAAAGGAGACAAAATTCATGCAACATCTAAACCAAGATTATGCTGACAAAATTAAAATAAATAGAGAAATTAACTCTTATAATTGATATTAGGTTGTTTTGGGGGACAGTTAAAACTTTATTTTAAGGAGCTTGTACGTCGTATGTTGAACATGATAGTAACTGAACAATCTGTACAAGTCGAGCTATGAAAAACAAACAAACTTCAATTTCTTGGTTGAGTGAAAAAAAAGTTTTGATGAAGTTTTGCATCATCACATTCAACATCTGGTAGAAATGCCACTAACTTGTTCCCACGGATAAAAATAATTATTAACAGTGCTGGACATTAAGTAAAAAAAAAACACTGCAAAAGGGGTAAATCAAATCCAGTTCATCATCAGCATTATGACAGATAAAACAACAAATGCAGCAACAAAAGAGAAAATGTCTGTATGTGTTAAATATTTAAACTCTTCTAATAAAGAACTTAAGGGTTTACAGAAGTAGCTACAATTAGTACTGAAACTCTTATGAACAGTTTAATTGAAAGTCTCAGAGAGTTTGGATTGGAACTTAGGAACTACAGGGGAAAAGGGTTTGATGGAGCTGGATCAGTGGCAGAAGAAGTGTTTGGAATTCACACATGGATAACAGAAGTGTATCCAAATGTGAAGTATTTTACATTCTGTGTTAATCATCGATTGAACTCGATAATTGTAAAAGGTACTAGACATTTCTTGGACATGTTTGCCTGTCTGGAAGTGCAACGCATGATGCTACAGTTTGCAGAAAGTTTAGTTGTAATGATATGATATGGGAATTGTTTCTTGACCTGTTTGAAGAAGGAAAGAATATGATATAACTGAGGGTGGAAGGCATTACCAACTGTTTGTACAACTCATTGATTATCAAGAGTAAACCCATTTGCTACATTTTTGAGAAACTACAAACCATTTGAAAAGTCATCACAAGAGTTAAATGCCAAATCAACTGGACAGACATCAAAATATGCTCTTTCTTTTATTCATTCAATCTCTTAATTTAGTTTCACTGTTTGCGCTGTAATTTCTTCTTGTGTTCTGGTGTCATCAGATCTTCTATATATGCAATGCAACTTGTTGAAATGAAAAACTGGTGCCCAAGATGTGATCAAGACACTTGAAATGGTAAGATTACCTGAGAAATTTGGCCAACTTCTTCAGAAATGCACAATGATTGATCAGATTAATGTGAAAGAGGCAGGGATGAGGATTCCAGGAAGACAGTTGCACATTATAAAGTACCCTACAGACAGCATTGAAGCTTGTTATACATTTGATTTCCATTACCCTTTTTTTGTCGAACACATCGCGACTCATCTTTAGGAAAGATTTTCTACAAACAACGTTTTTTATTTAATGCCTGGCAGACTACACCTCTTGGATAATGACCATATGGTGGCCACCACTGTACAATATAAAGAGGACATGTCAGCTTCTATAAATTCTGAACAGTTAATGAGTTGCTGTATTGATTATTTCTAAATAAGTATTTTTTAATTATGGAATACCATGTTTCTACAGCCATAGATAATGCAAATTGTACAAGAAAATAAAAAACACACTTTTAACTACAGTCAGGTTTCAGGAATATATAAACACAAAATTCTAATTATAAACACTTTAATGTAATCTTTTTTTTATTTAAAAAAATATTCTTTCATCATATGTTAAATATGTTAAACATCAGTATGTATTTCCTAAATAAAGAAGTGCTTGATTAGTGTAATATAAAAATCTGTAAACAGTCAAATGGGTTAAAAATCTAATTTCCTACATCTCTGAAATTGTTTTCTTTTGAAAAAAGAAGAGTTAGGGGGATCTGATTGATGTCTTTAAGATTATAAAGGGAATTGATAGTGCTGATGCATCATCTTTTTTTATATTTACCAATGGGAATAGTTAGACTATGGGACACAAATATAAATTTTGGCAATGTAGGAGTCATCTCCAGCTAAAAAAGTTTTATTTTTCTGAAAGGCTGGTTGGCCTTCAGATGTTGTAGAGGCAGTCAATTTAAATGAGTTTAAGAAAAAGCTTGATAAGTATATGAATGAAAAGGGATGGGTTTAATTTTTATATTTTCTTTTTTTTTAATCATTTTAATTTAGTTTTGAGGATGGAACAGCCGAGATGGATCAATAGGTCCTATGTTGTCTCAAAATATTATGTTATTTTAAAATCTGTAAATATCAAATGGGTTAAACACCTGTATTTCTCTTGGTTAATGTAATATGAAAATTTGTAAACAGTTAATTTGGTTAAACATCTGTACTTTCTAGATAAACAGGTGGATGCTTAATGTAATATGGAAATCTGTAAACAATCAAATGGTTTAAACATCTGTATGTCCTTCATAAACAGGTGCTTGGTTAATGTAATACAAAAAGCTCTAAACAATCTAATGGTTTAAACATCTGCACTTCCTACATAAAGAGGCACTGTGTTAATGTCATAGAAATATGTAAACAGTCAAATGGGTTAAACAAGTTGATGAGACAATTACATTTCATACACAAAGAGTTATGTGATTAATGAATGTATTATGAAAGTCAAAAAATTTACACTATACATAATGGTTAATTTTGTTAATGGTTAACATTGTAAAGAAAAAAAGAAACTTACTTTAATGAACAGCTCAAGATCATTTCCATCGTTTTTCCCTCATGATTATTTAACATTATCAACTGAAAAACATTTTTGTAGCTTTCTTGATTGAAAGGAAGTTGTGTATTAAAAGATTGTTCAAGAAACATCACTTGTACCATGTTTCTGGGGCAGTAATCTAGTACTGTGTAGCTCTCTTCACTGAAAAGAAAATAATTATATTGGCACTTTCAACAACGAATACTTGATAATTTAGATACATTCAAAAGTGTCTTAGTATATTTTGTAATAAATTATGCAATCAAAGTATTTTTATGCATTAGGTGTTTCATTTAATTTCATATTTATTAGTAATAAAATCATCCTCTATGTTCTTAACTGATATGTAACCTATACATATTTACATTCAAGGTAATCATCTATTAAATAAATTCCTACTTTCAATGTAATTATTTATTAAACATGTCAGATGACTTGTAACCACACACAAACATACACACATTACTATTTTTCGTATAAATATTTATTAAAAGTTGAAGACAATAAGAAACCAACACATACACCTATTACTAATGTTCCCTTCTGTTAAAAATGTTACATAATGACATATCTACTATCAATATAGTTATCTATTAAATATTTTACCTGATTATTTCACCACAATTTACTTCCTAATGCTTAACCATCTTCCTATTTACTATCTTTCAACTCACTTCAAGACGTGTAAACAACATCATACCTACTATCTTTAAACTTGCTTTCTATTGCCTAATCAATTTCATATATACTATCCTTCAACTTGCTTTCTGTTGCCTAATCAACTTCATATATACTATCCCTCAACTCGCTTTCTGTTGCCTAATCAACTTCATATATACTATCCTTCAACTCGCTTTCTGTTGCTTAATCAACTTCATATATATACTATCCTTCAACTCGCTTCCTGTTGTCTAACCAACGTCATACCTACTATCCTTCAACTTGCGTCCTGTTGCTTAACTAGCTTCATACATACATACTATCCTTCAACTTGCTTCCTGTTGCCAAACCAACTTCATACATACTATATTGCAACTCACTTCCTGCTGCCTAACCTGCTTCATAAATACTATCCTTCGACTTGCTTCCTGTTGCCTAACCAACTTCATACATATATTGCAACTCACTTCCTGCTGCCTAACCAGTTTCATAAATACTATCTTTCGACTTGCTTCCTGTTGCCTAACCAACTTCATACATATATTGCAACTTACTTCCTGCTGCCTAATCAGTTTCATAAATACTATCCTTCAACTTGCTTCCTGTTGCCTAACCACTTCAGTACATACTATATTGCAACTTCGACTTCCTGCTGCCCTAAC